TGACATCCATGATACCACTCGGTGCTATGGCAAAGCCAGAAAAGTGTAAAAGGAACAGAAGCCATTGACCCTGAACACAAATATAGCATTGACCAGGGATTATGTTATTAATAAGAGAAAACTTAGGACATCTGCAAGACCAAATATAAATAAGCTTCTACATAGATGTTGCCATTGTTCTAAACACAGCAAACTGCAGAAGCAAGCAAGGACCTGTAAATGCTGAAAATGAGACCCATTTTAGCTAATCCCAGGATTTGAGAGACTAGAAGCAGGGTGGACATAACATTTAAAAACAGGTTATAGAGTCAATGGTATGCATGTGTGTTGGAGGTGAAGTGTCCCCACCCTAGAGGGCACCAGTTACTGCTAACCTTAGCTGGCCCTCCCAGGATTGAGCGTCCCCTGCCCAACACTGTGGCTTACAGCTGGCAGTTGTGTCCCAGGCCTCCTGGAGGAAGCTGAGTTGAGGGACACCCCCACCAGCAATCTCACCGTGGAGCTTTGCTGGATTCCAGGCCATATCAGCTAGCCAGAGGTACTTGTCACTCTCTGAACACAAGCCACCTGAAGTCCCATTGGTTGTATGCTTTGCCAAGCGAAATGAGTCAAGGAACCCTTCATCTGTGGAAATGCTGAAATCCAAACCGAAATGCAATTTGTTCTGCTTCAGCATTTCCTCAAATGACTCCATTAGGGAACGGCTGTGGCCCAGGGCTAATTACTTCATAATGGGTGCAAAGCATCCTGGGATGCAGGCCCTGGAGGGTGTCCAGGGACCAGGGGGCCTCTGTGTGTGTGTGCAGCCGGCCCTTCTCAGGATGACAGTGCACATCCCTGTATTTCTCTTCACAAAGGGTGCTGCTCAATCTGCATGAGGATGAAACTAATCCTGGGATAATCTTGAGGAGAGAAACCTGCTTTTCCTCAGAGAAATCTGCTTCCCAGGTCAGCATGAAGAGAAGGAGTCAAATCTGTGGGCTTTAAGTCCTGTGTCTGCCACATCCTGACCATGTAACTTTGGTTGAGATTCTTCAACAGTTGCTAAGGATAATGTGCCTTCTTCTTTAGGAGTAAGTGGGACATTGTGTACATAGACCCTGGCACTGTTCCAGGCATGCGGCAAGTCTCTGCTGCCCTGCTTGGATATTTTCCCATCTCTAACGGAGGCAGAGTGGGCTTTAGATTTCCAAAGTGAAGTCAGTTTTTGCATACTCTATGTACTTACTCAGTGATTTGGGGACATCTTCATCTGAGGGGCTTAGGGAGACCTATCAGAAATCACAAAGAAATTAAAAGATACCTCCTATGTCGGTCATTCTTATCATCCTTGGACAGTAGAACACTTCACTTTAAAAAGAAGGGAAAACTGTTGAAAATACCATTTAGAATGACTCTGTGGAACACAGGATGTGTAGGAATCCAATGCTCAGTGCTGTGAACAGTATATTAGAAGAAAAAGACATACTTCTGCCAAAGTCCCCAAGAATGGAGATTAACATACATGAACAATTAGAAGCTGACTCCAGAGGGTCACAACACAGTGATAAAGCATTCAGAGCACTCTCTCCCCACAGAATGCCATTGCAACATCCAGCTGGAGGAAGTCATTCCCCTCTAATGTAAGCTTGGATGCTTCTGCCAGTAAAACAGTCCATGGATTTTCTCCTCATCTGCTGACATGCTGTGGAGCTGGCCAGACAGAGAATAGAATTTATTCTTTCACAGAACAGAGGGAGTTTGCAGGGATGATGCAGCTGCTCTTCCTTCAAGCTCATCTCAAGTGTCAGCATCAGAAAACCCTCTGACCAGATGGAAACCTTCAGCCGTCACAGCCAATTCCCATATGTGGGGAACAATAGGGACAGGTGCCCCAGGCCCTGGGCCCAGTGTGTATAGTCTTCGCCCACTTCCCAGGTCACCCAAAACTCAAACCCAAGGCCTTGAAGAGCACAAGACTCCATCTGTCTCTGGTCCAAAGCCAGGGCTGTCCCATCAATCTGGGCCCCTGGAATACCCCACCTTGGGAGATGCCCGGCACCCCTGGCAAGATGGAGCCAGTGGCCTCTCACCTGCCATGCTGCCACCTGCAATTAGGGCTGCTGCTATCATTTCTTCATGGCTCACTAGACATGGTGCTGAAAGGCTGGTGACTTTTTTCAAAACTCAAGGTGATTGCTGAGACCTCTTGAGGTTCTCATTCTATGGGCTTCATGCCCTCTGTGCTCCTGGAGGGAGGAATTCTACAGCCTGCCTCTGAGGCCCTCCTAGCCCCAGCGTGGAGCTCAGTGTTGGTCAGTGACCTCACATCTCTAGCATCCTGCTTGGAAGGAGGGCAGTGAAGTGCTGTCAGGCCTTGTCTGGAAGTGTGGGAGGTACACCCTTCTTTGTGAGGATGAAGGACTGTCATGGAAGCTACTGCTTGCATCTGACATCTAACCCTGCAGACCCTCATTCATGACAATGGGTTTGGTCACTCAGGGAAATTGGGTCAACTTCTCCCTCTTCTCACTCAAATTGAGAATTGGGCTTCTCAAAACAAATAGAAATTAGTGAAATTCAAGCCTCTGAAAAACTGACAGTTTCTTTTGCACAGCATAAAGTGGAGGAACAAATACCAGGGTGCGGGGAGCTGATCAGCAGCCCCCAAAGACATGTTCAATCCTAAAACTGTGTATTTGGGGAAAGGGTATTTGCAGGCATAATCAAGTTACAGAATTTGAGATGATCAGATTGGATTGTCTGGGTGAGTCTTAAGTCCAGCGACAAGTGTCCTTATAAGCGTGAGAAGGGGGAAAGGCATAGACCTGGGGAAAAGACCACATAAAGACAGAGACAGAGATTGGAGCCATCTGACCAAAAGTGTAGGAATACTGGAGCCACTAGAAGCTGGAAGAAAATAGGAAGAGGAAGAGGAAGGAAATATCTTACCTGGAACCTCATGAGGGAACACAGCCAAGGACACCTTAAACTTGGGCTTCAGCTCCCACGGTTGTGAAAGAATAAATTTCTCATGTTTTAAGCCCCTAGTTACAGTTATTTTCCAGACAGCCTCTGGACACAGCATACGGTGTGTTTGAGGACATAGGCTGTCTTCTCTGGACCTCATCTTCCAAGACATAAAAAACCAGGACAGTCTAAAGCATCGTCCAGGATTCATCTGTACAATTCCATGACTCCATGGCAACCAGCTAGGGGTGACAGCATCACACTGAGCAGCCTGGGTAGGAGGAAGAGCCAGTGAGACCCCCAAATACACAGCAGTCCTTGAAGAGCTGGGGCCCAACCTCTCCCCTCTCCATCAGGATTGCAAATATGTGGAGGAAGCCCAACTTGTATGCCATCTACCCTCTATGGGGTTGCCAAATCCCGGAAGTTGTACTCAGAAGAGGTCACACAGGCCCTCACTGCTGCTCACCCTTTATCACTAAAACACTGGGAAGGAAAATACATTGGGTTATTTTTGTGGCAGAGTTTTTGCTTCCTGGAGACAGCCTTGCTTTCATGTAGAAGGGTTTTATTGCATACAAAAGGAATTTTAAACATTGTCTGTCTCATCTTTATATATCAGAAGCCTGCCCATATCTGTACTAATGCCTGAATAGTATCAAAATGATGAAAATCCAGTCCATCAGAATAAATGAACTGTTTGCTCACCTTCTGGATACATGGATTGATTTGGCTTCATAAAAATCTGGTCACTCCCTACAAGGACCTGGAAAAACAATAATGATGATGATGATGATGAGAATAATGGTTATAGTCATCATTTTTGAGTACTTAACAAATGTGAGACACTCTGTTAAGTATTTAAGAAGCATTAATTCATTCAATCCTCACAAAACACTGTCAGATGGAAATTAAGAGGATTACCTTATCAATTAGAAAAGTGGGGCTCAGAGGTTTGGAATGACTTGCCCAGCTCAGAGGTTGCAAAAGAGGATCCAACCAGGTTTTCCTGCTCCAATGTTTGTGACAGTCATGCCACCTAAGCTGCCCCCTGATGAAAATCCAAGGGCCTCCCCAGTTAGGAGAAGGCAGTGTTTCAGCCACAGGATCTGGAGGAGCTGGGGAAAGTGTGGTCACAAGGCCATGCTTTCTGGGCTTCACTAGCTTTGTTATTGTATATGTGCTGCATTAACAGAGATGTGGGACAGCTGAGTAGAAGATTACGATGCCATGATGTGCCTCTGCATGCATGTACATGTGCATCGTGTGTAAATGAGTGTGCTTGCATCTGGATGCATGCATATGTGTATGTGTATCTGTGCACATGGTGTTTTGAGTGCATGTGTGATTGTGTGCATACACCTGCTTGTGTGTTGTGAGTGTATATAGCTTTCTGCACTATGCACATGTGTTTGTGTGTGCATGGACACGCTTATGTATGCACATGTGAGTTTTGTATATGTACATCCTGTATGCACTTTACTGCATATGTGCCTGTATGTGTTCCCATATGTACACATGTGCTTATGTGTACATTTGCAGGAAGGTGAGAAAAGAAGTTGTGGCATGAGCTGTAGTGAGCAGCTCAGCCAGGATAGTGCCCAAAGTTCTCCCAGCTACTGATACTGAGAAGAAAGTGATGGCCAATCACCCCATGTGTCCAAATCCCCTCCCTCTCCTCTCAGAGTTCTTCTGATCAAGTTCTACCTTCCAGACTCCTCCAAGCCTACTCCTCTGAGGGGCAAGGACAGGGAGGAACTGGACAAATTTCCATGCCAAAGTTCCCTGCTCAGGTACAGGTCTGGATTTCTACCAAGGGCAATGCTGAGAGTTAACCCCTCACTATGATTCCTCCCTAAGACCATGAGGTGAGTGAGACAGATGGTAGATGCACATGGGCACACATGTGGTGGCATGGATCCCCTGTGATGGGCACCTCCAGACGTCCACATGAGGACAGGGCTGAAAAGGGGAGGAGGACATGAGAGCCAACTGTCCACTCACTGCTTCTGCCCAGCCCATCAAAGTGCCTTGGTGCTTTTGTCTTTCAGGAATTCGCCGACTCGGTGTCCCAGCTGGTTACACAGAAGTTCCGTGAGCTGACAATTGACTTGACATCCATGCATGCCCGCCACAAAGCACTGGCAGGAATCGTCATGACCAAAGGTAACCATCTCTTCCCTTTCCTATGGGAACTCCTGGTTCCAAAGAAAGGAATGTTAATGTTTACTGATCTTGAGATCCAAAAGGATTTTATTACCAGACAAAGATGTGACAAAGAAAGACAATAGAAAACACAGATCAATGGCCAACATCATTACCAGGAACAACCACACTGGCAAGGGGCATAACTGGCCTGTGAAGACCCATCTCTACATAAGCTTCTCTACTTTCCATGGAGAAGCTGAAAAGGACTGCCTGGTCTCCCCCATTAGATATTCCCTCCACCTCATTTTTCAAGAACAACGCTAGAATGTATCAAAGCTGGTATCTGAGGTCAGACTGTGCCACCAAATAAGTCACCTGAAGCTGGTAGATTAAGAGATGGCTCCCTGTCACACCTAACAAGCCAAGACCAGGGGCTGATGCTATCACTTGTACAGAGCAAGTGTGTCACCTCTGGTCTTTAACCCCAGAGCAGGGAGATGGAGCCCCCTTGGATGTGGAAAGCCTGGTGTGGAGATGACCTTGCTAGAGGAGGTTGCTTGTCAGTCTCTGGTTCCCACAGTGAGGTGGCATCCCTTAAGCTGTCTCAAGGTAGATCCAACATTTACTGCCACCAATGAGAGGCTCTGAGGGAAGAAAGGAAGGGGACTCTAGGGGATATCAGAGGACATGAGGGATACCGGGAAACAAAGAGAGGACAATGGGGACAAAAGGAAAGTCAGGGGGTACACTAGGGGATAGAGGATGCAGGAAAACACAGAGGGGACAAAACAGAACACAAAAGGGACAAAGAGGGACCCAGGGGCACAGGAAGAACACATGGGAACACAGAGAGGACGGGGAGGGACAAAGAGGGAACACAAGGAGACATATCAAAGTGGACACTGAGAGACATGAGACAGGGGATACAGGACACAGAGGGAGACATGGGGCACAAGGAGACGAAGGAACACAGAGGGACATGAAGACATGGGGGAAAATGAAGAAGAGATAGAAGGGAGACACAGACATAGGAGGACACAGGGGCACAGAAGGCACAGGGAAACATACAGAGAAACAGGAAGGAGACCACAGGAATACAGAAGATATAACAGGGCCACAAGGTGCACTAGAGGAAGCAGGGTACATATATTGTGCAACACAATGGGTCACAAAAGTGACAGAGGGGACAGAGAAGAATACCAGGGGACACAGCGAGACACAGAGGGATACACAGAGACAGTGAGGCCATTTCAGAGAATCTGTCACCTGAGAGTCTGAGGCCCCCTTGCTGAGATGGAACCTCCTTCCCGTCAAGGTTCTCCATCCCAAACTGCTCGGAGATGGAATTCCTTTCTAGGAAGCAAGAATGACCCAAATAGGAAGGAAACAGTCAATCCAGCCACTTCTTTAATAAGCTAGGTTGGGAGAAAATGATGCCTGAATTTAAGCAATCAAATTCATGAAAACATCTAATTACTGATCTATTATAACTAGCCAGCTATTTATTTGTATTCAACTGTTTGTTTCCAAAGTTTTGCATGAGTTTGTAATGACCTATTTAAAGGATGATAATCATAAACAAAAATCAGCTTTTGGGTAATTTAAGTTTCATGCTTACACACATGGCTCTGCATTAGTAAGCAAAGAATAGGGCTAAAGAAGATCATACACTTGGTATCTAAAATTTTCTCCTCTAAAAATTTCAATGGAAAAATTAGATGATTGGAATCTTTTTCCTGCCATTCTGCATCCCTAGGGGGGGCAAATCCACTATACAAAGTCAGTAGAGCTGGCACTAAATCCTTGGGACCCTGTCTTAGAGGTAGCACAGGAGATGTTATTTGGGCTTTCCAGTTCTGACACCTTGGTAAACCCAAAATACGGCAATGCTTTCTTATAATGTAATATGTTGAAAAAGATAAAGTATATCAAATGCTTTGGAAGAGGAAAGTTGCTTTGCAGATACAGTCCCCTCTTCTCAGCCAAAGCAACTCTGTCAATGAATGATCCCCCTGTAGCGCTGGCAGGCATACTTCCTTAACCACTACCATTTGCCCTTCTTTTACACATATGATGGTGTTCACCTCTTTGTACAAGAGGTAATACTCTAAATTGAAGGCTGAGTTCACTTCAACCAAAATTATCACTGCTGGATGTAACACTTTTTTATCCATTCAGTTAGGAGCCATTAATTATAGATGCCTCTATGCATGGGGCATTATTCAGTATGCCCCGAGAATGCAAGGGAAAGACACAACCCCACTAGAGGTACAGCAACCCATGGAGGGAACATTAATGAGGTCCAGGCCAAGAGCATGGTTCTTTCACTAATTTGCTTAGGTTTGAACCCCAGCTTTACCCACAGCAGCTCTGTGACCCTAGGCCAGTCACTTAGCCTCTTTGAGACTCAGTTTACACACACTCTCAAATGGAGATAATTTGAGTAATATTTTTCCAAAAGACTTATTTTTAAGGTTAAATGCATTTATAGAACATAGAAAGGCTCTTAACCATAATAAGAGCCACATAAGTGTTAGTTATTACTAGTAATGATACCGTACTGAGTGCCTACTATACTAATTTCTGGAGGGACAATAAGAAAAAAAATGGACCAAGTGCTCAGACTTGTTAATTTTATATGCTACTGGAAAATGGGTCAAAGCCCAATTTAAACCTAATAAAGGATCATGAGATTTCTGTGTACAGACCTGTAGGACCATATAAACAAAACTATGTGGAATGCCACATAGATTTCTGCTACAGAAGTTCAATTTCTCCCACATGGTTCAGTTTAAATGAGCATCTTGTTCTACAAGGAAAGAAAAGAGAGGGAGGGAAGGATAGAAGGGAAAGCACAGCTATTGCTGCTTTTTAATTGTGCAACATGCTTCTAACCACAAAAGCATAAGTCAGTGTGATTTGGCAAGTGGGTTTTCAACATTTCTCACCTTGGCACTCTCATTGAGCAATCCCCTTCCATTTTTCTGGAAAACTCAATGCTGGCAAGTTTTGGAAACTATTCTGAAACTTCACTTGGAAAACAGCAATGTTTTACAAAAGCGAGTGGGGAAAGCTTCTCAGTTGCCAGTGCATGCACTGTTTTATGTGCAGGCTATTTATTTATTCATATGATTTCATTTTGTTACGAAGAAGTGAGAGTTCACAAGGTAAAGCTTCATCATTAAGGACCTATGAACATTAAAAAATAAGTTACTAAAATTTGCTTTCCTTTTATAAATGGAATATGTAATAAACATTGATTTAGAAAAGATTAGGAAGTAATATGCAAAATAATGAATACAAATGTTTGTGAATATTCATCTACTTAAAATTGACGTGCCATGTAATCTTAATTCTAGCTGTTATTTAAGCAAATACCTAAGGAACTCTAAGAGGAAGTCATGTCTCATTCTAGTTGCTATCCCTATGATATTGCAATAAAGTTAAACATATTCTGAAATAAAACATTCAATTTGGCCCTCTATTTGTAGGTGAGATGCCAAAATCATTTGCATCAGTTGGTTCCTGAAAAGTTGTTTTACATTAGTGAGGTAGAGACCATTTTTTAGCCATTATGAGAAATACTATTGCAAAAGTACATGATTATAAGCAGAATAGTTAACTTTTATCTAAACAAATGGAGTAACATGGTAAAAAAGCAAATATAGAAGAATTTATGAATCAGAACTATATTTTCCCACCCTACTTCTCACATCTCTTCATACCCAAAGAAGCCATTTCTAACCATTTTTAATTTGTTCTTGTGATTCTAACTACCACTTTAGTTCTACATTTCTGGATCTCCAGTTCTACAGTAGATAATATCTATTATCTCATGCTGTTACAATTTGATCCTTTTTGATGTTCCATTATTATATTTGTAATTTCTTTAATTTTGGATAATACAGTAAAGCTTTTGTTTCTTATTGTATCACACTTAGATGATATAGCGGCTCTTCCTGCTCTATACACTGAGGATGGTAGCCCCTTGGCCTTTTCTTTAATAGCCAGTTTCTATCAATTATAAATTTATTTTCATATGATTAAGACTGATAATATATAATATTAATAGTCTATTCTACAAGGTATGATCAACAAATATGGTTAATATTTAAATTTGTATAAATATATTATAGTAAAGACACATTGGCACTCAATTTCCCTCAAAATACCCCTCCTCATTTTACAATGAACTTATCCCATCATTCACTCCCACAACTTTCTGAAGCAGTTCTGGAAGTGTTCTTTTCTGAGTGTCTTTAGTTGTGCTGTCACAACTGCCTTGATGTCCTGAATCAATTCTAAACATTTACCTTTCATACTCATTTTGACTTTGAGGAAGAGCTGAAAGTTGCAGGGAGCCAGATCCAGTGAATAAGGTGGCTAAACACACACTGTAATGATTTTACAAGATTGCCTTTCCATTGGATGGTACTCAGCAACACCATGTACCATATTTTTTATCATATCTCATAAATACAGTCACAAGTGAGGACTTCCAGAAATGCTTCAGAGAGTGATAGGAATGATGGAACAAGTATGTTCATAGCAAGGGGGACCATTCTTAGGGGGATGAATGGCAATGTGTCATTTACTATAATAATTTTTTAATTTAAACATTCCCTGTATATTTTGGTCACCTTTGTATATCTATAATTAATTTTTCTATACTTTGAGAGACTCTCAGAGTTGAAAACCACCAAATAGTATCTAAATTATCAAAGCACTGTAAATAAAATCACACAGCCAAACAGTGAACTGGAATTACACATAATTCTCCATCAATACAATTTTCCCCTGAGAGAAGGTCCATTGTGTTTAAGTCTCATAGATTCTTGTCACTTCTATCACTAGCTCAAAATCATGTCACATTTAAGTTTCATTCATGTTTGTATCTCAACCTTTTTACATACTTTTTTAAATGTTTTATTGAAATTATTTTTGTTTGAAATGTTTTTGTACATTTTTTTTTCCTGGAAAAAAATTTACTAAAAAAAAGAAAAGAATGAGCCTTTAAC